CCCGCCCAGACCCAGGAGGCATCAGTCACCAAGCTAGGGGGGTGCAGGGATGGGGAGCCCAGCGCACTCCCCAGCAGACCCAGAAGTGGACTGGAAGTGCTTCTGGTCCACATTCAGGTTTCCTGCCAAGCACGCTGGGGAGCCCCCCATGCTTCTGTGGGATACTCCATGTGCCCCGGCATTGCAATGCTCATGAGCCCCTGTTACCTAGAGGTATGTAGAAAAAACATTCAAAGCTGTCTCTATGTCCAAATCTCCGAATCTTTCTGAATCTCTCTGAATCAATTCGGAGGGTTCCGATTCGATTCAGAGAGATTAAAGAGTCCTCTGATTCAATTCAGATTCAGAGATTCAGCTGCTGAATGGGGCCAGATCTCCACTGAATCAAATCAGGAACCAAAGCTTCACGCAGCCCTACCAGCCAGTCCAGGATTCATGCTGCATATGGAACCTGTAAGCACCGCTTGCAGCAGAGGTCCTGGATCACCTGGAGTGGGCGCTGTGTGCAATGCAAATCCCAAAGCAGGTGCTTTATGTGGCATACTTCAGCCGGGGAAGCCACCATGTGCAGTATGGCTGATGCTCTGGCCAGACTGCACCGCATGCAACACCCGGTCCAGCTACTCCAGGATCTGTGCTGCAACACTGTAAGTTCCACACTGGCTGGAGCAGCCACTGGATCAGGTATACTCGGTGAGAAGTAAGGTGAGGAGGTCTGTGGGCTGGATCCTGTTACACAGATTGCCAATTGATCAAATCATGAGTGAGACCTGATAAGGGAGGATAAGGCAAGATGCCGCATTTATTGATTAAGCGCTTAATACACACACACACACACACACACATACACACACACATTCATACCCCCAATTTCTGTTCTGCACTGGTATACGTTACCAGTCTTATCGGCGCTAGGATCAACTTCGTGGCCAGCCTAGTTGATCATGAGTGGGAGCTGTGCTCCTACCAGTCCATCTCATCAGACAAAGTGCTCCAGGATGACATGCAGAACAAGACCCAAAATCGATATGTCTCGCCCCATCTTTTATAGCCTTGTCAATTCACCCAGTCCTCTAGGCTTTTGCTAGGTTATCACTGTGTTCTTTCTTGAAGGTAGATTGCTGTTGTTCTCTCACTGTTCTGGGGTGGATTCTACTTGTTTGGTCTTTTATCAGTCTGCATTCTTCAGCCAGTCGCCAGCTGATGTTTTCCTTTTCCACAAACACACACTCACCCATTCAGCATATAAAAGAGTAAAAGGTCGAGCACTTACGTCAAGCTACAGAGCACTACAAAATGGAGTTTCTTAAGGCAATGCAAAACTCAAGAAAATACATAAGATTAAAAGCAATCAGCATCAAGCTGGTATTTATGTTATTTGCATAACAATCCAGCCCATAGACCTCCCATGCTCCAAGGGCATGTGCCATGTCCAGTGTGGGTCTGATCGGACCCAGGGGCAGCACCTTGGGCCAGATGGTGGGGCTCTGCAGGCTGCATGCAGCCCATGTTTGACACCCCTGGTAAAGGCAAAACTGCCACCTCAATTCTGTGCCTTCACATCAGCTCTGGCCCCATCTGAGACTCCTGGCTCTGAGAGACAATGCCCTGCTTCCCCCAGCATCACTGGGGAAGAATGATTCCAAATGTGGATTCTTATTTGTTTAGAAGCCTCCATAGGGCTGCTACGAGAAGAGCAGTGCAAGAGAAGTGACTGAGCATTCCTTCCATGCAGGAAGAGGAAGATCCATACAGAGTGATAGATTTAGGTAACCTAGCCAGGCAACCTAGGAGCTGCAGGCTTGGTGATGAATAAAAATGCACAATCATATTGCATACAAACATACACTGCATGTGTACAGGCACTACCCACCTAGCACACAACAGGCTTGCACATCCCCAACCTCCCTCATACATGGTTGGCCATTGCTCTAAAGACTGCATGTAGGAAAAGGGTGTACCCAGGGAGGCTGCTGAAGTTAACCCAAAGCCTCCATAACTAAAACAACTGCACAGTGAGCAGTAGAAATGATATATCTGCTACATAACAGGGGAATGAGATACAGACACCTGAGATCTCACTTTCCAGAACTGCACTTACATGGTCAGTAGTCCATAGCCCAAATGAGGATTAGTGCCACTATATCTTAGCAATCATTAAACAAACCCTAGCTCACATGTAAGCGAAATCACTTACTTTCACTTACACAGGTGCTGAGAAGTACAGTCAGGCCTTGATTTACATGGTATTTTTTTGCAGTTTCAATTATGCATGGTCAATTAATTGTGACCCTTTATTTTTGTACATGATACGGATTCACTTTTACACAGTGAAGTGCAGTCATGCAGCGAGAAGCAGAGCCTGGCATCTTGGGGAACTGTGTGCAGCTAGTAAGTCTAATGTAGTGGGAGGGAAGGGGCATGAGGGGGACAGATCAAGGCCCCCACAGTGAGGGAGGAGTGGGGCTGGGGCAGATACTGCCCAGCTGGGGCGGGGTCAGTGTGGAACAGAGCCATGGCTCACCTGGGGCCATGTTGGGGGGCTCCTGCTGCTGCGCTCACCCTGCGAGGGCAGGGGAGGGCATGTCCCCCTGGATCTGTATGGGGCACGGTGGGCAGGCTACAGCTGCAGGCTGGAACTGGAGCTGCGCTGGCCTTTTCTCAGCGGGGGCTGGGCTCGGGGCAGGCAGTAGCAGCGCTGGAAAGGGGTTACGGGGGGGCTGCAGTCACTCCAAATTTCACTGTAGCCTCCCCGCCCATATCCCTTTCCAGTGCCACTGCTGTCCGCCCTGCACAGAGCCCCAGCTCAACCCCCGCCTCCACCCATGCACCAGGAAGAGCCGGGGTTGCGCCAGGCAGGCAGCAGTGGTGCTGGATGGGGGCTATGGTGAAATTTGGGGTGGCTGCAGTGCCCCCCCATAGTCCCATCCCAGTGCTGCTGCCACCTGCCCCAAGCTCAGCCCCCACTGAGAAAAGCCCGGCACAGCCCCTGCTCCAGCCTGTAGCTGGAGCCTGCCTGCCCTGCCCCGCCTCTCCCCGTCCCATGCAGATCTGGGGGCACACGCCTTCCCCATACCCTCCTGGGGTGCACGCAGTGGTGGGAGCCACTCCTGCCCCATGCCCCCCAGACAAGCCATGGCTCTGTTCTGTGCCCGCCCCACCTTGGCTGGGCAGCGTCTACCCCTGCTCCACTCCTCCCTCACCACGGGGGGCATTGATCTGCCCCCCCATGCCCCTTTCCTTTCCCCTCCCCTTCCACCATACCAGACTTACCAGCTGCTTGCAGCTCTCCAAGCTGACGGGCTCTGCTTCTCACTGCCTGCATGCTGTACTGCAGCTGTGCACATACATCAGCATCTATCGGCCAAATGATTGGCCGCATCTGGAAGCTAAATCCTTATTTTGCATAGACGCGTAGTATCTTTTTATATGATTACTATTTGCACAGTGTTTTTTCAAGGACATAACCACTGTGTAAATCAAGGTCTGATTGTATAGTGGACTGAAACAGTAGTAGAAACAGCTAAATTTCTGCAACCAGAACACACAATGAACCAGAAAACACAAGCTCCTTTTTCAAAATAAATCTCTAACAAAAACTCTATCTGGTAAATTTTCAATGAAGTAGGGTTGGAGCTTGACCTCCTTGTCTACTCCCCAAACCCTGTTTTAGCAAGAAAATAATTTGGTGTAACAATTTGAAAAGAAATGTGTTAACTGTTCCAATCTTGTGATAGTAAATGCTGCATCATTTAATATCCACTTGTTAAGAGTTTAAAAAGGTATCAGCCTTCCTCTGCAAGTGGATACATTTTTTTTCTGAAGAAATTCTGGAAATCTTTTCACATTAAGCAAATACTTCTCATGTTTTCTTCTTAAAGTTTAAAAAAGAAAAGGGTAGCACAATTCAAAATTGTGACATTCTAGTAGCTATAAGGAAGGTATTCTCCATCTGTTCTCATAAATATATATTTTTCAAAAATATATATTTAATAGTATTTCCACTGTTAAAAACTGACAGGAGAAACAACTGCATCTTTTGTATGAAACACAGAGAAATTCCTGCATTAGAAAAGTGAATTATTAAAGAAATAAGATGGGCAGTACATTTATTAGGAAAATTAATTCTTGTACAAAGGGCAGTGTGAAACTTATGCACCAATTCAGATCTTATTTGAAAGTGTAAGTGGGACTTAGTTGATAGATAAATTTTGTACTGCTTTTTGCACAGGAGTAAATTTTGTTCATTAAAAATGAAAATAAGTTTACCATTTCAAATGTTTCAGGCTTAGAAATGCTTAAAAAATACAGCAATTCAACCAAAGGAAAACACATATATAACCCTTATCATGCCTCCTGGGTGGAGTGCTGCAAAAACATTTGGGAGTGTTTTATCCCACCTGTGTATCTGTACAGTTGCATTTTTTAAACATTTCGAAAGTGATGCATGTTCACACTCTAAGTGAAAACTGTACATTTAATACAGTATAATATATATAATATAGTTATAAATTAGGAATATATATTTATAATATAGTTATAAATTAGGAACAAGATGTGCTAAAATTCACTTGTAACATAATTCCATCATTTTTAGGGGTGTATTGGGTGCTTACAGATGCAAAAAAAAATAAAAAAAATAACAGCACTTTACTTTAAACTCAGCACATTCCTGTGCCGAGACCTGCACATGCCCAAAAGAGGCAGCACATTACTTTACCTTGGTTCGCCAGATGTCTATAAAGACTGGGTACTTTATAGTGGTGCTTTTTTGCTGCTTTTACCTAATAACTGATTGAATCAGTTTTAGCTAAAAATGCCAAAAAGCCTGCTGAAGCGCCCAATCTTTACAGACGCTACAGAGCCAGGTTGAAGTAACATGCTGTTTTTTTCTGGTAGAGCGTGTTTTTTAACATCTGCAAGCCACCACTATGCATTAATAATTCTATAATGAATAGAATTATTCTGGTTAATGAATTCCCTATGTTTCTACTCAACAGAGTTGAAAATATGTCTATGAGGTTAGAAGAAGTAAATGAAAGAGAGCATTTTATGAAAGCTTCTCTTCAGACAGTTGACCTTCGACTTTCTCAACTGGAAGAGCTCTCTAGTCGGATGGTGAATGCTCTTGAAAAGCTGGCAGGTATTGACAAATCTGAACTGATGCACACACGCTCACGGGCTTCCTCGGAATGTGATACTGCCTATCTCCTAAGGCAAAGCAGTGTCAACAGTTCTGATGGCTACAGCATGTACCGATATCATGTTGGTGGTGAGGAGTTAATATGTGATGTCAGTACTGCCCCCATGTCACCAGCCTTGGGATTACACAAAAAGGCATATTCTATTGGTACAAAAGAAGAGAAAAATGGAGTGGACTCAAAGATGCAACTGGTTCCAGGACACCATCGTAGTCTCCGCTATGCCTCCAGTGCTAATGCAGTTTCCACTACAGATAATGGTAAAGCTACGTTAGAAATTGCAAAGAATGTTACTAGACCCCGTTCTGGTTCAGCTGGTTTTGCTTATGTGAAGCAAGGGATTTTCAAGAGCGATGAAACAATTCCTCAACATATTAACCAGTCAAATATTGTTATGAATGGGCAATCAGTACCAAAACCAAATTTTCAGAATACTCAGTTAACTGTAGAAAGGACCAAATTAGAAGCTACTATCTCTTATCCCTTGGAGAAATCTAAGGAAATGCGCTATTACACTCCTGAAACTTTCAGTGCTTATCAAACAACCATGATGAAGTCTAGGAGTTTTATATTTGCCCATGGAGGAAAATTGGTTGGAGGGGTTAACAACTGGGCCACAGAATATAGTACCATATTGGATCAAGTGGGCCCTTCTGCAGTTGAACAGTGGGCTAGTGAATGGAAATATGAGGTTGAACAGGAACTCTCTCAGGAGCGTCCCCCAGAATATCCTGGTTTTGTGTGTGAAGCTGAAAGGCAGGCAGAACAAAAACCGGTACTGACAGATACGGAAGATGACAGCGATGTTGGTGAAACAGGTGTCAGTGCCTCTTACTCTTCCACACCTGTTACCAACAAGGCTGAGACAGAAAATTTATTGTCTGTGAAACCAGACAGAACTTGTGGATTCCCATCTGTACGGTCAAAGAGTTTACACAGCCATTCACAGAAAGGCAAGTCCATGAAGGACAAATTAAATAGACCAGGACATGCCAGCAGTGTATCAAGCCTAGTGGTTGCCTGTGGCGGTGAAGAACAAAATGCTAAGCAACAGTGTGCTTCCACTGAAACAGAGTGCTAAAATGGCTGTCAGCCCACGTGGCAGCAATAATCAGGAATCTGACTGGGTTAATGTAACACAGTTACCACTAAATATAACTTTTTAAAGTGAATTTCTACAAAAGAATTGTGCATTTACTGATTTGCTATATTGTTTATGTGGTAGAAATAATAATGCCCTGTTCTTTGTGGATTGAGTGAAGGGGAGACATTCCTTCTAGGGGTGGATGTAAGGTTAGGTAGGATTCAGAGATGGTAAGTGCCCAGGGCTTTCTGAGCCTTGCTGCCCCTCTAACTTCAATTCATGTTACTGGATCTTTGTTGGAGATGGATGACAAATGGGAAATATTTTCATTACAAAGTTTGCACGCGCAGACCCACACACGCACTCTCTTTCTCTTGTCCACTGGGAACTTCTGACCAGCTGTAGTCTTTATTTTCACACATGCAACACATACATGTTCTTATGGACAAGTGTTCTTTAGACCAAAAGGAGTAGAAATGCAAAGGAACGTTTGGTAATCCCAGCCCTTCACCTCTGATTTATGGGATAGTGATTGGTGATATAACTAAGGAATGCACAAGCTCAAGTGACTTTTGGTCAATAAAATGGCTATGAATGGAAAAATACAGGTTCCTCCAAACACAGGAGTATTTGTAAGTCATTGATTTGATTTGGTAGCAAAATACGTGATCTCTCTTAGAACACAAGCAATAACATTTTGTTTTCTGTTACTTCTCTCTTAGTATATAGGCATATGTACAGTTAATGTTATACTTGTCAAACACAGCTGATGGGCTTAAACTGTGACTTTATATTTAAACTACTGCCTTCAAGAGGTTGGCTTACAAGGAAAATATAACTTGTCTCACTCTATCTCCACCATGCTGCTGGTCCAATAAAAGATCACCCAAAGAATCCTTGCCTCAATGAAAATACAAATATTGTAAATGGCAATGATATTTTTTCCAAAATATTAATGAGGGATAAAAATAGAAAATAACCCAAGACTTGCATTAGTGGCTTGCATAATCACAGACTGTAATAGGGCTGCACATAAATAAAGTTTATTTAAGTAAATGTGAAGGAAAACGGATGACAAATATAGAGAATATAACTGAAAAATGTAGACACCTTTGCATTCAAAACTGATACAACAAATCGTTCTTCCTTTGGGAATTTCAATGTAATGTCACTCTGGGGACAGAAGCAAGTATACAACATACTACCTGAAGCTGGTTTTATGTAATTCCAGACCAGGACATATTTATTTTATTTTATTTTACTCTTTATATGAAAAGACAACCTAAATGGCTTGAGCAGGCTTATTACATGCAAATAAAGGAAGTCCAACCTGACTCTTTCAAATAGTCCTACTATAAGACAATCAGAATGATTTCCCTAATCTATAAGACTTAAACTCTATGCAATAAGAGCAGACACTAAATACTGTTGAGTCAATGGCAAGACAGCCAATGCTAACTGCCAAGAGAAAAAAGACTTGTCGTATAGGTTCTGCCACTTTCATGAATATAGCTCTGAATCTCATGGTTTACAGACACTATTTCTCACTCTCATGACTTTCAAATGTGAATTGTTATACAGAGATGTTATGAACAGCAATACTAAAATGCATTTGCAATATGTTAGTAAATGTATACTTTGATTGCCTGGGTCTTACATCTATTTTCCAAGATTGCTTTTGTAAAAGATTCTTCTCTAAAATACTGGTATGTCTTTTCTTACTGTAGGGCAAATGTACCATTTAAAAGCTAAAAAGAAAATATGGTTTACACACAACTGGTACCACAAGTGGTAATCAGGATTTATACATTTGTAATTTTACAAGTATATAGTTAAATATATATATTCTTTCATAATCACTTTTACAGAACTGTAGGCTCTAATGTGTATACAGTGAAAACTCGGTTACAATATTTAAGAGGGTTTTTGGCAGAATCGAGTTAGATATCAATGGCTTCAAACTTCTGGCATCTGTATAAAATCTCTCTCCATTTATAGCCTGTACCTATATTCTGCAGTGCTGGTAAATGTGAATGCAATGGACATTTCTGAAAGTTTATTCTTCTTTACATTTTTTCACCAGCCTGATGTTATTCACAGGCTTATCAGTTCTATTATTATTAGAAAATAGGTTGTTTTTTCTTTCTTGAGGGCTCTTTTTATTCAAATTTGCAGAATTTGAAATTTGCTTTTGTAAAGCTGAATGACATTGGAGATTGTTTCACTTTAAGATTTAAATCTGTATGAGTTTTATGCAATTACAGTCATTTTGTACGTATAGTTAAAATGTGTTATTTGCAATTGCCTTCTTGCTTGCCTATACATTCTCACTAGCAACTAATGTATCAGAAAACCCAAAAGGATATAAAGGTTTTCAGTTTTTTTGCTAAATAAGCACTGTTCATTTTGATATGTTGCGTACATGTGCTTGTAACATCTTTATAAATTGTTTAACATTATTGTTTTGTTTGCCCGGTTATTTTCCGGCATTTAAATTATTTCATGACTCTGAAAAACTATTTTAGCTTGCATTTAATGATTTTCTCTGTGTAAAACGGTCAGTTTTGGCTATGCGTGAAATGGTCAATTGAATTATTTTATATAGGAATAATATCAAAAAAGTATGAAATGCTAAACTTAAAATAACAAATCTGTCATGCTGGAGAAACCAAAAATACCACAACCTGTCTGTTCCTTCTTATAGGATGTATGAAGTACTTTCTAAAGTAAAAACTGATTTAATGATTGCCAGTAATTTTGATATAGGCAATTCAATATACTTCAATCTTGCACCCACCTGTAGAGAGAATTCTTCTGAAGTCAGTGTAGTGACTCCATGTTTAATGAGATAAGCCTTATACTTTGTTAACACTATGCAGTAGCATAATAAACCCCATATTCTCTGCTGCACACCTCAGTAGGATTTGTAGGATCTAAAGTTAAACCTGCTTAAAGCTCAGGTAGACACCTTCCTAGCTATACTGCTAAAATGGGTTCCATGGGAGTGGGAAAAGATGCAAATATGTGCCTGCACATTAAAAAAAAGTTTAAGGTGTCTTTTCCATGCATAGCAAATAGTGCTAGGGTGATGTCTGGGTTAATTTGCTCATGAACACATCTCTCTACCTTAAAAAAAAAAAAAGGGGGAGGGGGGTGCAAAACAATATCTACATTAACAGTGATGCTCTGAAAGTATCTCTGTATAATCAGGATCAGTTTCTTGCATCTCTAGGGTTTTAGGTAATTTTTTCTTGGTTTGTAAGGAAAAAGATGCCATTTTAGCTGTCAGCTCTGTAAACTTATCCTAGAAACTGTGCATTATGTTTGTTCCTGGATATATTATTTTAACCTCATCAGTAACCTAACTGAACTAAATGGATCTATAATACCCAGTCCAGAATTCTTGCCCACGGCAAATGTTAAAAAACCACAAGTGTCACATCCCCAAAAATGACAGTTTAAAAAAAAAGTTAACTTCTTTTTGTTTCATTTTGGGTTAATGTTTTGGAGCCATTCACCACAAGTATAAGCACTGTAAACCCCCTTTTTTTTTAAATGAAAGTTGAAACTTTAAATCACGTGATTCCGTGAGCTTTAAGAGATTTGTAATAAAATTATGATACAGAATAGGCACTGAAGAATCTGTTTGGCTCGTATTTGAAAATTGCAAAGTGAATTTTTTTTTAGCTAGCCAAAAATGGACCTTACTTTCTGAGGGGGAAAAAAATTTTAAATGTTTTTTCATCTGCTTTCGCCAGGCTCCCTGATGAGCTAACTCCCTGGCATTTCTCAACATTTTACACAAAAAGGACATTTTAGAAGCAGGAGAATCAAAAATGGAACTTTCAAAAAAAGTGCTGGGGAGCCAACCAGCCATTGGGGATCACAAAAGTGGGGGAGAGGGAAGCAGGCTGCAGGAGCCCAGGCAATCCTGGGGAGCTGCACGGCCTCCCTGCCAGTTGATGGGCTGGCCTGCAAGTTGACAGGAAGCCAAACATGCACGATCACCAGCCAGCCTGCCTACCTGCCACTACAACTTTTGACAGAATTAACATGTTTCTCCAGAAAGTTGGTTTCTGTCAAAACACTCTTTTTCAATGGAAAGCTGTCCTGCTGGAAAATTTTCAACCAGCTCTAATAATAACTAGGCCTGTGCGAAGCAGCAAGTATTTGCTTAGGATGCAGATTCGGTTGATTCAGAGGGACGGTGATTCGATTCAGAGATTCAAATCACTGTTCCGATTCAATTTGGCCAAATTGGATCCAAAGATTCAGTGCCGCTTCAAAGATTTAGCCATAGACTAAACAGGCAGCAGTCCTCACCACGCTGGACACAGCTGCCTCCAGCTGGTAAGTCTGTTGTGGTGTGCGGATGGGGGAGAGAAGGCGTGTGGGGGAGGGAGGGATTGGGGCTGGGGCAAGCTGCCCAGCCAGGGCGGGGGGGGGTGCAATGCAGGTGCAGCTCACTCCGGGCAGAAGCAGGTAAGCAGCAGCAGGGCATAGCCCCTTCACCTAGTGCTGCTGGGCCCACATCCCACACCCTCCTGCCCCGGCTGGGCAAGTGGCAGCAGGGCATATCCTCCACTCCCAGCACTACCACACCCGCATCCTGCGCCCCCCACCTCCTGGCCTGGTTGGGCAGCCTCAGCCCCAATCCCTCCCCCACGCCCCATCCCTCCCTCCTCCAACCACCACAACAGACTTACCAGCTGGAGGCAGCTGTGTCCAGCATGGTGAGGACTGCTGCTTGTTTAGTCTATGGCCAAATTCGGATTCGGAGATTTGGCTGCCAAATCAGGCTGAATCTCCTCCAAATCAAATTGGCTACCAAAGCTTTGCATAGCCCTAATAATAACCCTGAAACCCCAGGATCCTACACTTAACAAGCCATTTTTCTGAACAGAACTTTAATCAAAGTTTGGTGTCAATCTAGTATTTGATAGACATTTGCCTAGATGACAAAACCATTATACATACAGTAATGAGATTGCATTTGGCAGCTTTTGCACAAGATACCGGGTGCTGAAGCAGAATGCTGCTGCTGCTTTGGTGTGGTATAATTTTAATGACACTGGTAAAGTTGATACATGCAATTTGAGGACTATCTCCCTCTCTCCCCTCCCCATTGTGTTCTTCTTTTCAATTCTTTTCTCAATATATACTGAGAAGAAGAGGGTTCATACTGAAGCTTGTATTTCTTTTCTTTTTCCTCTCATTTGCTCTTTTAAATAGTGAAATCATGCAATACAGAACAATGTATATAATATATACAATGGTAAAGTAAAAATCTTAGTAAAGAAAGATTTCAGTTACAGGGGTCAGCTTTTAGATGCATTCATTCATGTAAAGTAGTATCTTAATTCTTAAATAATCAGACTGATTTCACTGAAGTTATTCACTGTGGTAAGAATATTACAGTTTTGGCCCAAGTAATCTTAGAGGGGAAAAAGCTACAACAATAGATCATCTTACAATGTAGAACCTCAAATGAACAAGGCTAACAAAAGTCATCACTGGGGACCCTGGTTTTCTCAGAAAAAAATCCCAAATTCTCTGAAAACCTCCCAAATTCTCTGATTAAAAAAACCAAAATCCATGTTTTCCTGTGATTAAAATGAAACGCCACTATCTACATAGGTATCAGTTGAACACAATGTGTAATTGATATAGTTACAATTATAAACCAGTTTGGAAGCCTACCAGTGCCTCAATCATTATAATAAAATAAATTCTAAATACCTATATATTTTGGCGTTTGATTTTGTTTTATTCATCATGAAAAATCAGAGCTCCCCTTGCCCATTTCACTCACCGGGACACGGGTCCAGCTGTGGCTGTTTTCCCCGCTGTTTTGTGGCACTGAGCATTCCTAATATACCAGTGCCCTGTCCCTGCCTCTGCCAGCGCCCCTCACTCTTGACCCACATCCTCCAACCCCTCCCAGCCCTGCTGGTGCCCCTCATTCCCAACCCATAACCCCCTGCCCCTGCCAGTGCCCTTTACTCACGACCTGCTGCCCTCGGCCTCCAGGCCCCCCCGTGTGTGGGGCAGAGGGTGTGTGTGTGGTGGGATGGGGTATGTGGGCATAGGCAATGCCATAGGTGATTTGTTGGGAGGGCATGGTGGGGGCACATGTCCCCGCCAGATTTCACAGTGGGGCACTAGGCTGCAGCCTGGCTGAACAAGCATCAGGCAGGAGCCGCCTCCGCAGCCTGGTGAGTGGGACCCAGTGCAGGAGGGCAGAATGGGGCAGGGAGGCTCAGTGCTGCCACTGTCACCAGGAACATCGCACCACCATGGCCACCAAGGTCACCCACTTCTTGCTGCCGCAGTTGTGAGGCATAACGTGCTACCAATGCGGCACCTCACCTTGTCAGCCATGGTGGCAGTGTTCCCAGCAGTGGCAGAGGCACCACCAAGTCTCCACACCCTGCTCTGCCTGCCCATACCAGCCCCCTGCCACTGGACTGCAGAGGTGGCTCCTGTCTGGTGGTGATCCAGCCAGGCTGCAGCCCCATGACCCACCGGGTGCAGAAATCTGGGGGAGGCATGTGCCCTCCCATACCCCCGATGCATCACCTATGGGCCCAATCCCTCCCTGTGAGTGCACATAGTGACATGGAACCATCTGTCCCACTCCCCAGCCAGGCCCCGCAGCCACATGTTCCCACCTGCTCCAGCCCCAGCCCCAGCACAGGCCCCAGGCACCATGTACTGCCTCAGCTAGGCAGCACCCTCATCCATCAACTGCCAAACTTGCCCCACTCCATTCCTTACCATGTGGGCTCAGTGTGCCTCAATCTCCCCACAAGTTGTGCCTCCTATTGTGCCCTTCCATACATTACATATCCCCCCTTACCCCTTCACACATTGCCTATGCCCCACCTTCCCCCGTAGATTTACCTGCATAGACCATAGATTTAGCTGCAGGAGCTGCTCTCCACCATGCTGCCTGGCTGTATTGTCGGCCACATGTATGTGTGTGTGTGTGCAATGCATATGGCACCACCTGCCTCTGACTGCCCAACTCCACTCCCCCCAGCCCCAAGCAGCCCCTTGAAGGCTGAAACTGTGCCAGCCTCCAAGGGGAAACCCATGGCATCCCAGGTTTTCTCCTTTAAAGGAGAAAAAGCCACATTTTTTCTGTGGGAAATGAAAACCCAGATTTATGGTCACCACCAAGACATTTCAGTATGGATGCATAGTAACAAACAGGAAAAGACTGATGAGGTCATCATACACATAAGGGAAAACTATTGCAAAGGATCAGAGATGCAACAGCTATGATGTCTAGATTGCAGATACATTTGAAATGATGTATTCTGAACATCAAGTCAAGAGCTTATGTTTGATCTTGTATTTTGAGAGCAAAGTTTGAACAGTGAAAGAGAATGAAAAGTTGATGGCAACAAGGTTTAGAAGTATTTTGTTCTGGGTAAACTGAATGAAGAATACAATTCTGAAAAATTTGGCTAACCTGTCTTTTAATTTACCTTCAGTGACCTTTTGAACACTAACACAGCACTTTCTGTACAGAATGCGGAAGATGCAGACAAGTCCCTGCGGGATTTCTAACTTACCAAACCCCTGAGGGATTCAGCTTGTAAAACAGGATCTGCTACCTGTTGAAAAGCGGAAGAAGAGTTGCAGAGGTGTTCCCTAGAACAGCTACTACAGTTGCACTGCAACAGCAAGAGCTTTTTTCAGAGAAAGTTTACTGTCCTAAAATAGAAAGGCAGTGATTTCAGAAAAGATGCAGCTAAAAATATAGCTACTGAGAGGATGATTTATCACTGTCTTTAACATGTCAAATAAAAACTTAAATGAGAAAGTACAGAATGAACTGTGGAGAACTTCATGCCAAGATTTAATCTAATAAAGATCTTGGCAAGCATATCCATCTGATTTTAAAAACACATGAGGGTCCCGTCCCTGCCCCCCCACCCCCCACTTCTCCTTTTAAAACACTGCTGAAAATGCACTGATACACAAACAGCAGATCCCATTCCCCTTTAAACTATGTAAAAGTTACCTTCTACTTTCCATGTTCACACAACACGCCCCATTGACATCAATGGGATGCTTTGTCTGTGTTGCAGTAAGGAGGATTGGTCTCTAAAATTTCAGTGCTTTATTGCAGGGATATAGCTTGTAGCCATGTTGGTCTACAAAGCAGAAGCAGACAAAACTCTTATGCTAGAGTTGATATCTTTGATTAGATCAACTAAATAGTAGCAAAATAAATTCTTTCTTTGCAAGCTTGCAGGTTCAAACACCCTTCATCAGGCAGAGGAGAGTTCAAAGACTGTAAAAGTTCTCCCAGGTAGAAAAGTAACTTCATCTCGCACAGGGGAGGTAAAGGATGGTGTGGTTCCCCTGGGTTTCAAAGTCCATTTGTGTAAAAGTTGTTTGTGAATATGCAGATTAAGCAGAGGCCAAGCTTCAGCAGGTTTCTTCCCTGAAAGTCACAGACATCAGGCAGGGAGTTGAATTTTGGTTTTTTTGCTGTTTAGCAATGACGTTTATGTCCCCGAACAGCTAATTATGATATCTTCCATGTTTTTCATCAACACAGCTACAAGCTAAATCCCTGCAACATGGAAGATATCATAATATTCTAATCCTAGTTACTCGAATAAAGCCAAAGTAAATCAATGAGAACATCATATGGCCATGGTATGTATGCCGAAGGCTGCATTTGCCATGTCTCCTTATGTGGACATTTCCCAACAAGTCAACAGCACACTTCTTTCGTAGTGACAATTTAAGGCCATTGTGATTTTTTTCAGAGCTTTTACTGCTATTGACTTGGGCCAGGTACAGACATAAAACTTTTACCAGTAAAAGTGATCGGAAACGGGTCTATAACTGTAATAGAACAGAAGTTTGGCATGCAAAACTGGTCTGTATCTGTAACAAAACAGAAGTCTGGCACACATCGACTGGTATAAAAATGGTGGAACGCAGTCTAAGATTTGCCCCCCCAGGCGAATGTATGTTCTGTTTGGTACCAATCTGAACTACACAGATTACAGAAAACTGCATAATTTAGATCAATTCTGCCTTGTGCTTTTTGAAAGCCTCTACCTAGCCTTAAACATCAACTCTGTTACAGAACTATGGCTATACACCAGCCAAAATTGTTAATCTATTTTAAATAATTATGTAACTAATAATAACTTCAATAATTGTGAAACTAATAACTAATTGGGTAGCTATTGGCCACCAGTGTTGAATGCTACAGAAATAAAAATGTATTAAAGTTAAAGGTGTATGGTCAGGTGCTTTAGGATCCACATTTGGGTTCATTACAATAGTTTTACATGAAATATTAGAAATGTTTCCATAAATCAAAACAAATCTATTCCTGACTACAAAAAATATGAATCAAGGTGTACTCCTGCAAACCAAGTACCTTGATCTAGTAAGTGAGCACACGAAAGTAGTAGCAAGTAGATTTTTCACTGATTAAACGTTGTTATAAACACAAGAAAAAGTAAACAGTCCAAACAAGGAAAAATAAACATGACTTTTAGAGTTCTTCTCTTTTAATGATAGTCCTGAAGTTAACTAATGCCATGAGAAATGTTTTATCTGACATACAGTTTCTACCTAGTTGGTCTTTAAAAATAAATCCAAATCTATACTTGCTAAACGAACAAAATCAATGCATTAAAATTGCTGGGTACATACTATTTATCCATGTTTGAGCTACACAAATAGGTCAGAGCACTGTATCTTGACACTTGTTCAGGTGGGATTTTCATTTCTATATTCTTTCTCCCTCCCATTTTCCTGATATTTAACTGACCGTTGCCACCCAAGTGTTCAGTTTGTCAAAATGAAGCCTTTCCAACTAAACTGCCAGTTTTTGAAGGATGTCTTTCCACTGTACTTGCCAAGTTCAGTGCAGTGAGTGATTGCATGAGCATTCCCATAGCATCCATACATTTGCCAGGTGATGCTAAACAAAGAGTATATTAGCTTTCTTCTTTTCTGCTTAGCACCAAAACCTTAAGTTTTGTTTGTTTGTTTGTTTGTTTTGGGGTTTTTTTGCTTCTACGATCCAGGGACTGTGAAAACATACTTTGCATTTTCACATAAATGATAAAACACACAAAATGAGTAAAATCTTTTTCCCATTATCTTTTTCCCCCCACTGCTCTTTACTTCTCCATTAAATTGTATCAGCCAGAAACTAAAGCAGACTTACCCAGTTAGTAGATCTCTCCATCCTGTGGCTGGATTCAGACTGTTTTCATGCTATGTTTTACTGAAGCCACAACTGGAATATGGCTCTTCATGGCAGTCACTGTACCGGATGAGAGAAAAGGTAGCTAAGAGTCTCAGTTGCCTTGGAAGTTGTTCTTGAAATATATTACGCATTGCACCATATGGCAGAAAGTTCAAAGCAAAAAGGAAGGAGACTATTTTGGCCAAAATTGCTTGCTAAAGGGAAGAAAAATGGATACATTTTCTTAGAAGGCGAATACATAAGGTGAGATTTTGAAAGAAAGCAACCAGCAGTTCCGAATTTCCTAGGACTATCCCACATTTCAAGTCTGAATCCCCATATCCCCAAAGAGTTCCTGAAACCATAATTTTGCACAGAATTTAGAACAGTGCTCCCTAATTTGCCAAAATACTGAGCTTTCTCATAGCACCAAGGAATGTCTGGGTCATCTGCTAACAGGGCACAATACATTACCTGGTGCTGCATGATCTGGGTATATTGTGTCCAGTCTTAGCCAGTCTAGCCAGTTGTAGCACCTAAACCAGAGATAATATAGTTGCATTTGTGTAGCACTGTGCCTGGGCAAATCAGCTTTGCCTTTTCATAGCTTCATAGATTGTAGAGTCGGAAGGGACCACAATGGATCATTGTGTCTGACCCCCTGCCCCTGGCAGGAAAGAGGACCGAGGTCAGATGACCCTAGCCAGGTGACTGTCAAGCCTCCTCTTGAAGACCTCCAAGTTAGGTGATAGCACCACCTCTTTTGCAAGCCCATTCTAGATTCTGGCCACCCTTACTGTAAAAAATGTCCTCCTAATGTCTAACCTAAATCTACTCTTCACCAGTTTACACGCATTATTCCTAGTTGCTCCCTGGGGTGCTCTGGTAAATAGCACATCACCAATTCCCTGCTGTCCTCCCTTGATAAACTTATAGATGGCTACAAGGTCTCCCTTCAGATGTCTCTTGTGAAGGCTGAAGAGATCCAGATCTTTCAACCTCCCCTTGTAGGGTCTTTCACGGAGGCCACTAATCATGTGAGTGGCCCTCCTCTGAACCCTCTCCAGATTCTCCACATCCCTCTTGAAGTGCAGTGCCCAAAACTTGACACAGTACTCCAACTGTGGCCTGACCAATGCCGGAAAAAAGGGGAGCATCACCTCCCTCCATCTGTTGGTCATGCATCTGCTAATACACAACAAAGTGCGATTGGCCTTGTTGATGGCCTCATTACACTGCCGGCTCATGTTCATCTTGGAGTCAACTATGACTCCAAGATCTCTCTCAGCCTCTGAGCTGCTGAGGAGGTCATCCCCCAACCTGTAGGTGTGCTGGGGATTCCTCCTTCCTAGGTGAAGTACCTTACATTTATCTTTGTTGAATTGCATCCTATTTCATTCCGCCCATTGATCCAACCCGTCCAGGTCGGCCTGTATCTGCTCCCTGTCCTCCAGTGTGTTAACTTTGCCCCATAATTTGGTATCATCTGCGAACTTGGAGAGGGTGCTCTCCAAAATCATCAAAATTAGGGATCATCCAAATCGCTGATGAAGATATTAAATAACACCGGTCCAAGGACTGAATGCTGCAGGACCCCACTGCCCACCTCCTTCCAGGCCGAGAACGACCCATCCACCACCACTCTCCAGGTACGATCCCTAAGCCAGTTAGCCACCCACCTGACTCTGTAGGCATCCACTCCACAGCCCGTTAGCTTCCCTATGAGAATAGGATGTGCAACTGTGTCGAAGGCCTTCCTAAAATCCAGGTAGATGACATTGGCCTCCACTCCTGTGTCAAGGCAGTGTGTGACCTGTTCATAAAAGGCTATAAGGTTTGTCAGACAGGATCTACCTGTGACGAACTCATGCTGGTTTCCTTTCAACATCATTTCCCCTGCTGGGCCCTCATAAATGTGCTCTTTCAGCTGGGATAATTAGTTCCTTTACAGCTTGTGGCAAGACTGAGGTAGCAAAGAAAGAAGAGCAAGGATGAGGTGCTTGCAGCCATGGTATCCACATCTAAAAGGACAGCAGATGCTACAGAAGGGTGACAAGCACCAGTGAAGCTTCATCCTGAGTGGCTGTCTTGACCTGGTCAGAAAGGGATTATCTCCGAACAAGAATGCAGCTACCTTCCAAGCAAGCTGGATGCTGAGGCTACCAAGGCTGAGGGCAAAGCAAGGCAGACAATGGAAATACTAATGGAGGCTAATGGAGAACCACGTGGAGAGGAAATTGCTGCAGTGCCTCATAGCCATCCTCAACTAGCAGACAAATGGCATCTAATACTCTATTTTTCTCCCTATGCCTCTCCTTTCCCTTTCAGCAACCAGCCAAAATGATCAATACCCACTACTGTGTCCTGAGGCACTCAAACACACAATCCACTGATACAACAGCTCCTTAGCCAATAGTTGAACAGTGCATGCCTGTAGGCATGGTAGATATGCAACTTTATAAATAACTAAATTATATATAAAATAGTTTTATGTCTGTCATTTTATGTCTGTCAACTGTCCAGAATAGGGCTTCCTGGGCCAAGGGAGGAATAGATAGGCCAGGTCCCCAAGTAGCAAGGAGGGACTATTATTCCTTTTAGAAATATGTTGAAAAAAACCAAGAGCAAATGCTGTTCAGTAACTTCCTGACAATCCCATGATTAGAGGAAGCACAAGCTAGTAGTCTTGGAAGCAAATATCCATTAGGTTCTGCAATTTCCACCACTGAAGACTCCAAATAATCATGACCAAAATAAACATTAGGATCCTTGTGCCCCAACCCAATATATGGCAATTGCATCAGTTTCTATGAAATGTGGAACAGTTTAGCTGGGTGGGTGCCAAACATTTGTATACTGCGGACATGGTACAGATTAAAAGCTCTTTCAGTTGCACTTTTATTTGAAGCATTTTAAATGTAAATCTTGTCTGTACCCTAAGGCAGCCATACTAACTGGAATTACTGTAGGCTTCTGGTACCTATAGTACAAAACGGTGTCCCAGATTTGCTTCCTAAAAACTGGTTGTTTTAATAGAACATGTTCCACCTGGTTTATTTACAGCTAGTATCATTATGATTCAAACAAAATACAAAAAAAAATGTTTTTGTGCTATGGTAACATTACAGGAAGTTCTCAGTGACTCAGACACAAAATCTGCACATTGTAGCTTTTTACAGTGGATGAAGAAAGTACTTATGTCAGTACCACTTAAGAAATGTTTTTTCAATATTTTAATGTTTCTTTTCTCTAGAATATTTTCATTAAAGCTTTGAACAGACACAGAAATTTTCATTTAAGAAAAGGAAAGCAGTGTAATAGTATTGTTTTACAATATCTCTTGGAGGAAGATAAATATAATTTGTTCTTATTTTAAAGTAATTAAAGTAATTAGAGATGTAATTAAAATGTAGAGATTAAAGGACTTTCTTTTTTCTTTTCTTTTTTTAAAGCTACCCTCCCTTTTGAGTATTACTTGGATGTCTTGACTTTGAAGTCAGGTATATAAATACCTCTGTCATGAAGTATACCCACAGATTTACAGTAGACACAAAAAATACTGTCATGAGAAAGTTCTGATCCAAAGGCTATTGGAGTCAAAACTTCAGTAGAATTATTATATCCAGGGTCATGTAGCATCAGTCCCTGGAATCAACACCAAGAATCCTGATGGTTAATTCTTTCTTCAAATCACAAACAACACAATTTTCTTCATCTCACTTACATATTAACTGCCCAGGACCCTGATATGATCTAAAATCTACACATTACCTTTGTGTTCCTGTTATGGGTATGAAGGACTACAGCAAAACTATGGCCAGTTACATTTTACTGAATAATGCCTAGTATTCACTTTGCCTCTACATGTGATCCTTCTTAGAGTTTGTCTTCACTGGGAAAGTTACCAGAATAATTATACAGGTTTAGTTTAACTATTATAGTTTTATACCAATGTAACTCATCATGTGAATACTTTGCGGCACATATTGCCTTTTCTTGATTTAGGTTGTTCCTCTGGAATAGTGTAAAGTAATTGGGATAAAGAAACTCATATATGGAGGGGTTATACCTCTATATCTGTTGCTGTATACTACCCTGTATAGGCAAGCCTTTAATGGGCTTCATTCTGTAAGGTACTCAGCACACAGCCACTGAGCCAACGAAAAATGGGCTTATCTTTAAATCTTAGCATCATCACTTAAGGGTGGTATTAAAGCACTTAAGTATGTTTGCTAGATCAGGAGCTAAATGTTCAGCAGTAATGATCCCAGTTTGAGCAAAAGAAACATTGGTGCTATAATACTTCCTGAGCCACTGTAATAGTTCCTGAGAAATACATTCATCTGCACATACATCACAATTCTATCCACATTCTTAGCAATACTGGTGTAAAACTATTTAAATCACACCCTGCAGCTTTACTGATGAGATAAAGTATATTAGGATTACAGCCCAACTCCTGTCTAAATTGCATCACAAAATTACAGTCAATCCATATTTCTTTCTCTTTTTTACTAAATATAATTCCATGATATTAACTGAAGATAGAATGCTACTTGCAGATTTAGCTCTCTCAATCCTCTTCAGATTACAATTAACTAGGAAATAACCCATGATATTTATATCCTATGTCCCCTTTCAGGGTGACTTCAATAAGATTTCTTCCAGAAGTAGAGTTGCTCATGGGAATAAGTGCTTGCAAGATCATGGCATTAATTTTCCAGTACTGCTTGCAGAATAGGTCCTGATGGCATTGAAAATAAAACTGCAGGACTCTTCCTAATTTTGTGATCAAAAAGGAATCTCTGTATGTATAATCCAACATCCTGTGCAGAAGGGCATCACCCAGCTCTTGGTCCTCTGCTCCTCAAATACCACAGTACTTTGCAAAGTCTGTAATTTATATAGAAAAAGGAGTAGTAGTCTGTTTCAGACTGTAAATGCATGAAGGGCAATGACAGAGGTGGACACAAATTCTTTTCCCTTTTGGACTTCTCAAGCTTAAGCTAAAAAAACTACATTGCCAACCAAGGCTGTATTATTTTTTCTGCAAAGCTCTTTCTGCTCCTCACGGACAGATGTCCCTAGGCAGAAGTCTCCAAAGCAACGTTGCTAGAGAGCTGGAGGCCAGGGACAACAGGGAGGCACAGAGTTTTCATGCTGACAGCCTGGTCTCAGGCCGGGTCCAGAAGAGAGCAACTGTGCAGTATGTGGTGCCGCAAACCTGCCTACAGCACCACACACCGCCTATTCAGGCATTTCCTGCGCTGCTACCTTGCAGCATGGAAGTTTGTTTGAGCCTGGGAGATTCCAGGGTCAAACAAATCCACATGGAAAAAAAGTGGGGTAGCACACATGGCAGTAGCATGTGCCATTAAAACCGGACCTTGGCCTGCTGGACACAGTTGCCAGCTCCAGCCTCTCCTACCCGACCTGGGGTGACCTGCCATGCCCCAGGTGTTCCCAGGGACAAGTAGCAGCAGCACAGTATGTGCCATTGCTGCTTGTCCCCAGGGAACCAAACATCCGTGTTTGTCTGGATGTGGCCTCAGAGGCTTTCAAAACTTTTGGACATTTTATAGTGTGGGTGGAGGGAATCTCCCAGAGACTTCCAAACCTGGAAGGAGGCTCTTTAAATTGGAATGCAAAAGTAAAAAACCACCATTGAAGGTGTGTGGGAGTGGGTGTAGGGTACCACAGCTGGGTAGGTGGTATGTGCACTGGTGCACTTGCACCTCCCTTTGATTCCTGGCCCACTCAAAGTTCAAAACCAACTGCTTGGCTGTGGCAGCAACATTTCTTGTCAGACAGTGCTGAGGGAGTCAACTGATGTCATTACTCATTACAGGCAGCCCTCGCACTTACAGTGGGTTTCGTTCCTGGAAAAGGTGCTGTAAGTGGAAACGATGTAAGTCAAATCTGATTTTCCCATAGAAACAATGTTATAATAGGGGGTTATGTTCCTGACCAAGGGCCTGATGCCCAACTTTTTACAGAAATGACAATAAACACCGTATTTTAATCAACTATTTAGTCAACTATAAATGATATACACTGTACTGTACAAAGCTTTCTAAAGTGTACTGTACATAAATCGATTAAACAGGGCAATACAGTAACTAATCACATCACATTTTATTTAATCAGGTGAAGGACCACTTTTATCAGGGTCACGGAATTCAGAAGAGCTACTTTGGGGAGATTTTGGGGAGACCTAGGGCCACTTGATGGTTTTTTGAGAAACTGATCCAGGGATGTGTTTTGCTCATGGTAAATTTCCCTGTAGTGCTGTAAGTGCAGGGATCCAGCGCCATAAGTAATAATATGGGTGTAAATGGCCGAGCGCCGTTAAGTGCGAATCGCCTTAAGTCAAAACACTGTAAACTGAGGACTGCCTGCATAACCTACCCCATCCCTTCTAAACTTTTCATTCCACACGTGTTAATGACCCTCTTCTTTTTAATGGTCTTGATGTTCCACCAATCAAGCTCCACTTTGTTCTGCCATTCTGCTGTCTGTCCCCTGCGCCTGGTAACCAAGCCCATTACACAGCCCTGCAGACTGGTTAACTCATTCCAATGAAGTTATATTGGTTTTTGCTCACATCGTAAACAGAAAGTGCAGCTCGAGGCCCCTGACCTATGAGGAAAGCATCTAGTTTATTTTTAACTGGAAAAAAGCAGGTGATATTTTATACGTGACGATGCACGCCACCATCTGCACCCCCCTTTCAAAATCTTAGATCTGTCCTCACGTGTGCGTGTGTGTGTGTGCGCATGCTCATGCACGCTTACTCTTTTATACCCTCCAGCTATGGATCACGACTGATCTTTTTCCATTTCAGTCATGGTTTTTGTACAAGGTCGTGCCAACCACGTTAGAAGACACGTTGGCATCCTGCTTCTTCCAAGCCGAACCCATGCCACGGCTGGCTGGAGAAGGTGGAGGAAGCCATTCATTTGGAAAGCCTGTCAACCCTTTCTTTCCTTGTCTCTCTGCGGGGCCCGCGGCGCCGTGCCCTGCCCTGCCCTGCCCTGCCGGCCGC